GCAATTTGTTGAATTGAAGGTAAGTGCTTTCATATGTTCAACCTTGTATTTTTTTTCCTTCTTTTCCTTTTTTAGTTATGTGGGATTTTGTACTCTGTGTCTGTACAACACCTCTGTGGGGAGGCGCCACGCGCGAATTTTTATATGATACTCCACCCGTTAGAGTAAACTCTGAAGAGGAGAAAAGTAAATTGAAGGAGGAGTTACAAAAGTCATATGAAGAGCAGCTTAAGAGAATGACGGAGACGGTGATGATTTGCGATATCATACATCTAATTTATGCATCATTCATCATAAACTCGCATGCATCTGTTTCTGTATGTAGGTTGATTTGAAGCTAAAGGAGAGCTCTGATAAGCTCGCACAACAAATAGATTTGAAGCTAAAGGAGAGCTCTGATAAGCTCGCACAACAAATAGATTTGAAGCTAGAGGAGAGCTCTGATAAGCTCGCACAACAAATAGAATTGAAGCTAATGGAGAGCTCTGATAAGCTCGCACAGTTCACAAAAGAAATAGCAGAGCAGATAAATGCTCGACTCATGGCAGAAATTATGACACTCTCCGCTCAAGTGAAATCAAATGATGAAATGTGTCAGATGAGATTGGAGTTATTAGAGACTGCTCATCGTAAGGAGAACGAGAAACAGAGGCAACAACCACATCAAATAGTAGTAAGCCCATGCGCTTAATTATCTGTAATTAATAAGAGTATACATATGCTTTAAAAACCATTTCCGGCATTTACTTTTAAACTTATGCATGTCTGTGTATTTCTTTGTCCATGTTGGGGTTCAAATTAAGTCCCATGCACCTCCAAGTGAGGTTAAAACTATATTATTAGTTGGACCAACAGGTACTGGGAAAAGTGCAGCAGGAAATAGCATCCTTGGAAGAAAGTTATTCAAGTCAATGTTTCGTTGTGGGGGTGTTACTACTACTTGTGAGCAACATTCAATTGAACTAGAAAATGGCCAAACTCTTAATGTGATTGATACTCCAGGTATACGTACATGTTATTACTAATTTCTATTTGTAGCTTTAGTACTTTCTATCCTTATATTCCTCGTCAAAATCATTAGATCTAGCTAGGCGTATGATCAAAAGAAAACTAACACAAACTCCTGGACTGCATTGGTGGTGGATGTTGTCGCATATTAGGAAAAAAATGATGAATGTTTATGGGTATAATGATATAAAATCAAAATAGGAATTTTCTCGGGGGAAATAGGCAAGAATCAAGCCAAGTGATTATTTCAACCATCTAATTTAGCGCATATATATATATATATATATATATATATATATATATATATATATATATATATATATATATATATATATATATATATATATATATATATATATATATATATATATATGATATATATATATATATATATATATCTCTAGATATATTTTTTTTTTTTTTTTTATATATATATATATATATACATATATATTTTTTTTCATAATATGCGACACCATCCCCCACCGAGAGAGTGTGTGAGTGTGTGTGTGTGTGTGTGTGTGCGCGCGCGCATATATATATATAGATATAGACGCGGGATAGAGAGAGAGAGAGAGAGAGAGAGAGAGATAGATATATATATATATATATATATATATATATATATATATATATC